TATTATGACATAGACATATATTTAAATATGTAGCCCCATGTCCTGACATTGTATAAAAACAAGTGTGTGTGCGTGTATGTGTGTGTGTGTGTGTGTGTGTGTGTGTGTGTGTGTGTTAGAGAGAACAGATTTCCGGTGTTTATGAACTCTTGTAATACAGACTGTTGACAAAAAGTCTCATCAGTAGGCGGCCTGACAAACACAGTTCAACTGATCTCCCCACACACACACACACACATACACACACAATGTACAGACTCTATAACCCTAACCATGACTCACACTCTGACAATCACACAAACATATACTCATACAGACATACAGGATGTTTAATACCATACAAACACATTACACACACATGCACACACAGTAGTTGAGCCTCAGGCCATCAAATTCAAATCATAAGAAAATATCTTCTCTGCTACATAAAACACATATGGATTTTTTTAGATTCATCTATTTACAGTGGTGTACAAAAGTCAGAGAATATGTATTTGATTTCCAGACAAAAATAATTAGAAAAACAAAAAAATGATACAGAAAAAATCTCTAAACAAGTGTGGAAAAACATCCCTGCGGATTTCTTAAAAAAAACTGAAAGAGAGTCTCCTGAAAAGAACGGAAGCTGTGTTAATGGAAAAGAGTGGACACAACATATACTTAAAAATGTAATATTATATTTAGCTGCTGAGGCTCCTATGTAGTCCTTATTGATTTGTTTATTTGTGGTTCTATATAGAACCACAGATATTCAAAGAACGCTTTGCATTCTTTGCATCATGAACGGCTTCTTCACATTGATGGAAAATGTGCATGAATGTGCTACAGATGGTTCTTTTCTTTTTGAAAAGGGTTTAGAAGCATTTAGAACCATTTTCTTTACTAAAGAACCTTTGAAGAACCATCTTTTTTAAGAGTGTGATCAACCTTTTCAGAATGTTCGACTGTTTTGGACACTTCAGGGTTTGGGTATTCCAGGCTTGTGTGAAGAATGTAGTGAGTGATGACAGTCATTTCTGTGGAAGAGGATGTAATTGCAATGACTCTGTTTAGGCAAATGTGGCAAACGTAGCCGGTAACATGACTACCATGATACAGCAAGACACGTAAGCTAGACCACAATGCTGGAGGAGAGGGAGAGGGAGAGCACTGAGATGGCCTAGAGAATGGAAAGAGTGGGAGTGTGAATGACGGGACCCTTGACTCTTTCCTATTTTATACACTGATCTGACACTCTGTGCATCCCAAATCACTGGACTGTCCTTTCCTCTGTTCTCTCTCTCTCTCTCTCTCTCTCTCTTTCTCTATAGGGCCTCTTTCTCTCTCTTGCCAGCTCAACCAGCAGCTCTTCCACTCTTCCCAGCACTCAACAAAAGCCACTTAGTAACCCATTTCAGCTAGAATGATGACACACAGTCTGTGTTTCCAAATGGCGCTACTCAACCTGTAGAACCATTAAAGGGAAATTCCACTGATTTTTTCTAAATGTTTGCATAATTAAACCGATGATGCATAAATAAAGTCATTCAGAGTGGCGCATTGCAGAGAACCTTACCAAATCGGGACTGATCATAATGATAGGAACAGGTGTCATGAGGTCAAAAACACAAATGTAGACATTATATATATATATATATATATATATATATAAATGTTTTTATATCTTTATATTAAAAGTGAAGAAGTTAAACATTTGTATAGTATGTAAGTAGAAGGGGAGATAATTTATTATGATTTTCATTTGACATTTTACGGTACCTTTTGCCTTGTTTTTGGCCAAAAGAAAAGAAAGAAAGAAAATCAGAAGTGCTTGAAATTGGGGTGCTCAATCCTCAATTTACCACCCTGAAGAGTTCACATCCAACACAAGTGGCCCTAATATTCCAATAAACCCCTGAAGGCCTTCATTATCTGGATCAGGTGTGTTAGCTAAACTCTACAGCAAGCATGTCAAACCGGGGACCCTCCAGGCCAAAGTGCTGCAGAGATTAGCATTTCCCCTCATCTAACATTCTGAATTCAGTTCATGAAGGCCTTGTTAATTAGCTGATGAGCTGAATCGTGTGTTTAATGAGGCCGTGTGCTGAAGTCTGCAGTGTTTTAGCCCGCAAGGACTGGAGCCTACAGGGTGGCAGACCTCCAGGACTAGAGTTGGGCAGCCCTGATGTAGACTTCATTCATTAATACAGTTCATCATGTCATTCCTTATGTACGTATTAAATGTCTCTTATTTTGTAATGTAAATGCTGTGTAAGCAAAATGTATAATAAGAACCCCTTAGAAGATCTAAGGGTTAAACTGGAAACAGTCTCTGTAATTGTTGGAAAAAAAGATACCTACTCATTGCAGAGACACATTGAGATGTACCTTATCATCAGTCCAGCATCTATATTTGTACACAAAGCTTATAGCTTATTTTGGGACAAATGATAACCATTCCATCACCAACTACATACAGGGAATTACAATGTTTCTGCATATTTAAATTATTAGGTTTGTAAAAATGTCATTTATTTATTTGTCCTGCTGTGATATAGTTTAGCTAGTACTTTATAGATCTGTAATAAATGTGTAATGATATGATAATATTATGGTAACAAGTTGTACTGGCCTAAAAATGACATGCTGATTTTTAAATTCTTAATAAATGTGTATGTGTGATTTATATTTATCTAATAAAATGTATTATAATCATCTATGGGAGTTCTATTACTTTAACATGTGGGCCCACCTGCAGACAAGTGTACAAGAACAGGACCAGATGAGATAAATATACTTTGATTACGCACAATCGGGGCTGGAAAATGCAAAATTATTACTGCCACAATTAACAACTTGTTATTTAGTACCAAATTGAAAGTTAGCGTGTCATTTTTTTTGTAAAGTACACCTTATTACCGTATTATTACCATATTATTACCTGCTTATTACTGATCTGAATTAAACTGTAAAGATTTTTTTAAAAAATGTATTTATTTCTCTCTAACAGTGTGTGTGCTTGTCTGGTCAGTTCAGTATGTTACGTGTCATACACATGTGCACTCATCAAGACCAAGTCCTTGTATGTGTAACACAGTGAAATAAACGGATTCTGATTCAGCTGCTCTTGCAGACAGAAGTGTTGAATGCTGGAAGTGAAAAAATACCGTAGTTCCCTATTTCTCATTGGCCTACCACAATGACGCATGTCAAAGGTAGCATGTCGTCCACATGGTACCACTTCCTGCTCCCTGTCACACTGACAGTTGATTTGTTGTTGCATAAGAGCTTCATACAGCTCCAGTTTGTTTTGTCGTGCTTATTGTTTTTTTAATTGGGTTTATCAGTAATTTGTGTGTTTATTGATTCATTTTGTCATGAGGGACAATGGGTAGGCTTGAATCTGTCCCAGTAAAAGCTGTGAACCAAACGCAGATGTTGGGGATGCCAAGCTTTTACCGCTCATGCTGCCCAACATGACATTGTTGATTAGGTATGCTCCTTTCTGACATGTTCTATGACAGTGTTTTTCCACTTTTCTGCCCGTTGAGTCACAGACATGTCACAACTGGCAGTGTAATTAGCCTCTCCTCGACTGCATGAGCAGCCTGGGAGGGTGAAGGCCAGCATGCTACCATATGTACAAAACCTGCTGCCATAATCTTTCACCTTACTGACCATGCAGAGTGATCCAGTACACTTGGATCATGTTGCATTTTGTCATAAAAACTGAGATACAGTGATAAGTGCATTAATATAGAATTTAACTGATGTGTGCAGTCAACTGTGTGAACATTGAGTGTTATAAAACAATCAATTTCTGCTATTAAATCTGTTTGGCTTAGCCACGTTCACAGCTGGTGTTAAAGCCATACATTATTTTAATGTATATCATGGACTGCTATGGTTTTTAATACAGACCATACAATTTAGAACCACTGTTTGTAGGAAGAAATATAAGTTTATTGTAAATTTGCCAAAAAATTCACTTTTATTTGGGACAACTTTAAACTTAAGTTATTGGGGCCCGTTAATCACACAGGAGAGGATCTATTGTGTCCAACAACCAATTTGTTGGACTCTGCACTTTTATTGCTCCAGCATCTACAAAAAAAACAGAAAAATAAAAAGTACTAGTAAGCTAAAAACTAGCTATACTACTATCTACTATCTACATCTATCATCTACTATCTATCTATCTATCAATCTACCCATTCATTCATCCATCCATCCATCCATCCATCCATCCATCAATGCAGCCAGAACAAGAGGAAGTGGAAACATTTTTTTTTTTTTTTGAAATACTATTGTGAATATCAGTGAACATTCCCACGAACATTATACATTCTTTTCCTTAAATGCTATAAAAGCTTTTTCTGTAACTTTTTAAAACTATTTTTAGTCACAAAGTCATATTACCCCACAAGCATCAATTCCTCGAAGCACACCAACCCCCTCCCCCCCTCCTCTTGCCCCCGAGGAGACTGTAGTGTACAGATTTCAGTTTTACTTTTAGTTGTAACCTTTTCTCAGGTAAGAGGCAGCTTGATTGAGAGGCTCTTTGCTTTTACTCTTTGTTCAAAACTAATAAAGTTTTTTCACATTTTCTCTGATCATTACATCTGAGCACCTTTCTGTGAACACTTGCCCCTGATGCCCAGCCGGTGGGGCGTACGTGACTTCAGATGGTACGTGCGAGTTTTGGAACTCCAGCTACATGGCTGACCTCTGAAATACCTTTATCACTCACAGCATTTCCAGGAATGCAGTAATCAGAGTGGGTTATTATAGCGTCTGGAACAGTCTGAGTTATTCAGTTAAGTTGATTTCACCTTAGCTGTTGCTTGGCAAGTGTAAGGAGGCAGGTTTGAGACCTGCACTCGCAGCAGGAATGTGGGTGTTTGTGATTCATGAGGGGTAGAGTTCAGCCCTCCGCACATACACAGGCTCCACTTGGTGCTCTATTGAGTGGAGAAATTTGGAGTGTGGAGAGAAAGAGGAGTGGAGGGAGGGAGGGAGGAGGGGAGGAGGAGTTATGGATCTGTTTATAAAGACTGGAACGAGGGAATGAGAGAAAGAGAGATTTACTACCACACGGTTGTACATCGCAGAAGATTTTTTGGACTATATTATGCGCACAGGTAAGTCGGTCTTTATGTACTTTAGTTCCGTTCAGTTAAATGAATCTGGTAGGAACTCTGTTTAATTCTGATTACATAGCAACCAAGAGGCAGCAACCAACTCCACAGGCAGCTTCAACACAATAGCTCTATTATAGTGCTGTGCATTCCTTTCTCTTCTCCTGATGTGAGTGTGCTCTCCATTCTCTTCAATGATTTACCAGCTGAAGCGTTTTCAAGCTTATTCAACATCTTCATTGTTACTTTATCGTCAGGTTTACTTGTGGCATAACAAGTATACTCTAAGCAAATGAGTCATGAATATTTGTGGTGGAAGGAGCAGTGATTGCTCCCCTAATGAAGTGCAGATGACATACACACATGCCGAACTCTTGCGCAGTGCAGGCTGTTTTGCAGCCCTGGATTTGCTATGCTGCTTTACTCTAAACCGTTCAGACAGTGCTGACCGGCCAGATCCTTAAACAAAGGGAACAATAACACAAACAACCTCTTTTCCACATCAGACTGTTAAAGTGTTTCTGGAGCCGCTCGGATTAGAGCGCTCGCAAAATAAACTTCAGTGAGTTTACCTCACTTTTAAGTGGCTTAACAAAATCAAACACGACTGTAACCCTTTAACATCTACACAGTGAAGAAAGTATTTCCAATGTCAAAGTGCTGTAAAATGTAATGGTAAATACTTGCTTTTATTAAAAAAAGGTAAATGCTTGTAAAAAATACCATTCATATACCGTATTATAACATTAGTGTTAATTTACAGAAATAGAAAGTAAATTTACCAAAAAATGACCTTTATTTTACAGATATTTGTGCTTATTTTTATGGTAAAATACTGTATGTCAGAATTACTATTTGAACTTTGAAACTGATGGATTACAGTTAAAGGCTATGTTTCTAAATAATTAAATGACTGTAATTTTACAGAATATTTATGTAATTGTGAAAACAGACTTTTACTGTTAATTAACATGTTTTGTTTGACCTCCCTGTTTTTTACAGATTTTTTTACAGTGTAGTCTTATTACTCAGTTATTCAATACTAACTTATTATTCGGTAACTACTATAAAACACTAAATAACTACTATTATTAATTTGGGTTGTTATACAGAAATAGAGTTTGTCCTTCTTTTGAAAGAACAATGTTTTTTTATAGTTTAGCCTTATTATTCAGTTATTCAATGCTGAATTATTATTTGGCATCTACTATAAACACAGAATAACTACTATTATTAATGTGGGATGTTATATAGAAATAGAGCTTATCTTTCTTTTGAAAGAACAATGAAAGCCGTCCAAGCAAGTATTGTATCAGTATTGGATTACAGTGAAATAACCTATATGAATGAAACTCCTTACTCCAATATTGAAACCGTTCAACGTTATCTAGCACAGTGCACTATGTTTTATTACTGGTGATAGGCCACTGCAAGCTGTGCTGCAAAAGTCGAGTGCCATTTGTTGTTTTTTATTGGTAAAAAAGGCTCTAAAAAGCTCCATTGAATCAGGTTGATTTCTCCTTATAATCAAAACAAATGAAAAATACAATAGACACAATGGAACCAGAGTTTGGTTAGACAGCATATCATGCGACGCCCTATTTGTGCTTTCAACTAGTGCTAAAGTGCAACATCTTTCACATTTAGTCAATCTAAACTGCTTTTAAATAACCTGAAAGATGAGAGCGGTTTGTCATTTTCTTAATTATATATTTCTATCCATTTTATTTGTTTTACTTGCTTTAGATGTTTAAACTGTTTTGTTGTTTTAAACCTTCGTTTGTTAATGATTTACTGTTTATTTGCATTTATTGTATATCTTACAGGGCCTCACTGTAAATAAGACCTTGGTCTCAGTTTTATACCTTAAAAAGCCCATATCCTATAATTTTAGTGTATTTTGGTTTCTCTGTAAGGTCCACTTACACTTTGTGTGGTTTTATGTATCAATCATGATTTATTTTTACGTGATCATTTTCCAACCTCTCTTTATGCCTTTCAATCAGACTGGCTGTTTTTGTTACTGTGCCTTCAAAAATAGATGTAAATGAGCTTTGTTCTGATTGGTTGCTCTGTATTGTGCCTCATTATAAAAGCAGTCTGGACCAAAACTCTTCTTATAACTTCATTTTAGTGGACGGCGCTAAAGTGCTGCAGGCTGAAATGGTGGATGTGTGTAAATGTGTTGGTTTTCGTAACATCACAAAAACAATGAGTTCAAAATAGGCCTAATAATTACATAGAGGACGATTTCTGACCCATGCAAAGTATATAGGTGGCAAAAGGGTTCTTTGGAATAATCACTTTTGGTTCTCTAAAGAACATTTTGAAAGTTGATTCCCCAACTAACCATTTTGTAAGAACCCTTAAAAATGTTTAAAGAACTTCCAAACCATGTAAAGTGTCTATATGAATTAAAGTTATTTCATTGTAAATGTTTACTTAAAGTTTTATTTTTAAAAGCTACAGTCATGTGCAAAAGTGTGGGCATCGCTGGCCAAATGACATGTTTTGTTGACTTGGTTTGAATGTTTTTTTAACTTTTAGTAAAGAAGTGCTTCTGAATGGAGGTGCATTTTATGTTTACTCAAGTCAGAGAGTAAATGTGCAATGCAAATATGTTGCTTTACTTATGACATGACAAAAACTTCAAAATAAAAATAGGCTGGTTTTGCAGGCTAGTTTCCATATCTAGACTGGGTAGTGGATGGTATGTTTTGAAAACTTGTTTATGGACCATTCTACTAAATTAGTTAGTTTTAAATGAAGCTGAAAGATTTACATTTAAGAGTTTAACTTTATATAACAAAAAATGCTGTCCTTTGTTTTATATCACTGCTGAAACAGAGTTTTAGTCAATGGCTGGAGCCACATTTAGCTACGCCCCTTCATTTGTGTGAAGTGAGACTGCATCTCTGTCCGTCATGGCCACATGTTTTTTTAAAATAAATATGTCCAAGTCTGTAAATCAGTGTGAAACATTATGAATTGTCACTCCTGAAACACATATTTTCTGCAATTAAGTAAACTTTTTTTGTGTTTTAATGAAAAATATTATGATTTTATGTCTGTACAACTGTTTAAAGCTATGTTTGCTAATCATGTACTGGTTACCGCTTTTGAATTCTGCTCAACATTAGCCAAAATTGTCACTATAAAAACAGTCAGTGCTGAAATATTTTGTAGAATTTCAGTGTGCGGAATGTTAAATGGTTTGTTCTAGTAAAATAAACATGATTAAGGCACAGCATCATTTAAAACAAAAGGATTTTAGTCTAAAGTTAAAGTTAACTAGAATCTGAAATGTGTTTACAACTTCGACTTAGAAACAATTTGCAAGAGTGACCCTTATAGACTACATAAAACTTTTTTTATTTTAAAAATATGAGGAAAACTTGGTTTTTAATGACAGGTCTTTCAATGCTGTTGAAGAAATTTTCAAATTTTCCGTAACGACTTTAATTTTTGTCAAAAATACATATGAACAGGAATGTACTTCATGCTTCACCATTTATTAACACTCCAATGAAACATTTCTAGAGGGATGTGATTTAAGGTGAGTTGAAAAGGTCATAACTTGTCGATTTCTCATTTTTAGGCACCATGTCGGTGGCATTCCAGAAGACTCTCAGACCTCCACTGCTTCTTTCTATCGTCTTGCTCATCCTTCCCTTCTTTGTGACACTATCAACATCATCACCTTTTAATGACACTGGCCTCTTTCATGACAATATGGGTGACTACGATGATGGTGATGATTATGACATTTCTCTATCCCCAGCAACCAAACCTGTGCCTCCTGCGGCTAAACGCTGCGACTATGACCTCTGCAAAGACCAGCAGCCATCCTGCCAGAAGCTTGCGGCCACCACGGGCTGCTCCTGCCCTGGGATGAGTGGGCCTCATGAGGTCCCAGATCCCCCGCACCTCCGCTGGCTGTCCCAAGAAGGCTCTAACAGGGTTGTCGTGCACTGGTGTGCACCGGCTTCCACGGTGACCCATTACCTGGTGCAGGTGGAGGGTAAGAAAGAGGGACTGGAGGCTGGCGAGAGGAGTAGACAGATGGACCTAGGAAAGGTAGCATCTGGAGCAGAGGTGTGTGTCTTGGCAGTGAACAAGGCTGGAGTCAGCACCAGGGAAAAGCACTCGTGTACTCGCTTTCAGTCTGAAATCTCGGAGTCTGGACTGGCGTTGAGGCTGGGCATCTTGGGAGGGGTGGTGGCACTGCTTGTGGTACTAGCACTAGCGTTGCTACTTTGGAGGTTCAGAGCACGAAGGAAAACTCTGGCACGGACTGAAACTGGAGGAGCAGAGGGGGTGCTCTGAGAGACAATGAGTTCCCTTTAATCCTGGTTATATTTGCATTCTGAAGCATACAGTTGTGTGCAAAACTTTGGATACCTAACTTTGGAAACTTAATTATGACACATTTCTGTACAAAAATTATAGACAACTATTGTTTATTTGCTGAATTTTCTGGTATGTTTAGAAATCCTTTCAGGCAATACTTTGGAACGCCAGTTGGCTGAAATGTTTCTTGTAGCCAACTACCAGACTTTAAATTCTTGATGTAAAGTATTCTTTTTCCTTTGCAGAACTCTTCAGGTTTATAAATCTACATTGGTCATCTTGCATGCACATCATATTTGAGACATAAAGACTTTCAATAATGTTCATGTCTGAAGATTGTAAAGGCCATTCAAGGTTGAATTTGAGGTATGCTTTGCGTCATGTACTTGTTGTAATGTCCAACCTCTTTTTATCTTCAGTGTCTTCACTGACTATGAGGCATTGACTTAAAGTACTTGTAGTAGTAGTAATAGTAGAATCTTTTCTTCTCTTTATCCCCACAACATACTATTATGCAACACAACAATAGATAGATTCACCTTCGTGCTTCAATTGGCATAGTCTTTTCATCAAATGCTGCACCCCTTTTCTCTTTGTACACACACTTTGGTTGCAGCCAAAGAATTTTTTGTCAGTCCACAGAATTTGATTCTTAAATGCCCCTAAATTGTAAATGATTTTGTGCAACAACACTGCACAGTGGACAAGTGCATCACTATTTCAATGTCAGCCAAGTCTTCCTGGAGGTCTTTGGCAGTGATGTGGGGGTTTTGCTTTGCATATCTGACCAGTCTAAGATCATTTTTTCTGAGGTGTTTCTTTGTCATCCAGATCTTGTCATGACTTCCACAGTTCTCCTTAACTTAAGTGTCTTAATGGTATTTCAGACAGTGGAAACTGCAAACAAAGGAGTGTTTAGGTATCTTTTTAGAGCCATTTACTGCTTTTGTAAGCGTCCACTATCTTTAGTTTCACTTCCTTAAGCAGCAGTGTAGATGAGCCCAGGGCTATCGAGTGTAATCACAACATCTTGAGAAGTTTTAAAGGGTCACAGAATTTATTACAGTCTGGAATTGTCTGCATCTTAAATGGGTCAAATATGCCTGGGACCTAAAATAATAACACTAATAGATCAACTCTAAGGGTCCACACGTCTGCACACATCACATTTTGTTTTCCAGTCTTTTTTTTGTTTACTTCAGCAAATAAATAATAATTGTGCATTAAAATTTGCAGAAAAATGTCATATTTAAGTTTGTTCTATGTAGAGGTGGTGTTAACTTCTTTTCCCTTAGAAAGACAACAGAATGTGGAATTTGACCAGGTTCGCATACAACTGTATTGTTTGGTAACTACATGCAAAACAGTGCAAAATCGTTGAGTTATCATGATGTTTTTGATGAAATTATTCAGCCTGAAATGGAGGTCTGGAATTCATAACGCATGTGATCAAGTCTAGGACTGTGGTCACAACCCTCCTTTTGGACATCTGTTGATTGAAGGATGGGGATCATTACTGGAGAGACTATGTGCAAAAGCACTTTAGATGTATTATTAGAGTTAGTATTGTGTGAGCGAGAAGTGTATGCTTTTTTATTTTTAAACCTTTGGATATCTTTTGTTTTTACCAGTTTTGTCAGTATTAGCTTTTTTATTATGATCAATTGAATAAATGGATGTGACTTTTTAAACAATAATATTGTAAACAAATACATATTTATATCTTTCTGTCCTTTCTCAAGCTATTTATTCAAAGTGAGTTACCACAAGAGGGCACTATGATGTGCAACAGCTGTACTTCTGTTTGCAGGACCTCCAGTAGTTCTGTTAAAGCAATTAACCTGCAGCTTCAAAGAGAACAAAACTGTAGAATCTATGTTTTCAGTAATGCTAGAAACTGTTTTATTGTGGATGCATGTGTAATGACTGTAATATGAAGTCAATACTGTGCAATGGTTACACTTTATTTTGAGATAAATTATGCTTTAATTAAATAACAAATTGGCTGGTGAAACAACGGTGTTATGGTTACAGTAAGGTTTAGGATTCAGTGTAGGTTTGGAGTAAAAGTTAAGTTTAGTTTTAATAGAATCAATAACATGTAACTTAAAGTTCAGTTGCATTTAATAGATATGTGGTTGAATGTTAGCAAAAGACAAGCTGAGCATCTACAGCATCTACAGCAGACTCTTCATTAACTAATTAATTTGTTTCTGTATTTCTTCGTTCGTATGATAATGAGGGGGTGTGTTTTTTCACGTTCAGGCTTAGCAATCAAGACCAGGAGGAGAACAGCTGATTAAACTGTTCTTTCACCAACTCCATAAAGATCTGCAATGCCACAGACAGACAAACCTGCTGATAAATAACTTTCGATGACTTCCACAGGCAGTGTGTGAGAAGGGCGTCCAAATGTCTGGGTATGATCTGAATTTTGCAGAAAAACACGATGAACCACCTCCTTCAAAGTTCTGAACACTACTGGTCGACCTCTGCCCCAGCAGAGGCAGCTATATGGAGCAAACTGTCCGTCACAGCCTCCACACGGAAGAGTAAATAATCCGGACCTGCATTTTCAGCCGGATCAGCTGAGAGCCTCAAGATTTCTGGCTGTCTGCTGCCTGTAAACAGCCACTACTGTACTGTCTTGTTCTTGGTTACCGCTAAGAGAGCAAGACATGTACAATAGATCTACAGAATCTGACATCGATCAACCAATAGGAATATTAAAACACTGTGACATCAATGACTGACAGCCCCTTTATTAGCATAAGGACAAGGAAATACAGAAATAAATGTAGAAATTAATAGTTATGGAAATAAATTAATAAAATAAAGTAGAAAAAACATAGAAAAATAGAAAAACAGAAAAAACTTTAATAAAGAAACATATAAATAATAAAAAAATACAAAAATTAGTGAGAAGGGGAAATTACTAAATAGACATATGAATAAATGCAGACATATTAATTTGTGTAAGATTTTATTTATTACTATATGAATTATGTATATTTATTTATTTTTAGATTTATCATCATTATTCTTTGCAATTCTACTTCATATATTAATTTACTAAGTCATTTATTTTTAATTTGATTTATTTTTCATTTTGGCAAATCTGGTCCTCCATATTCTCCTACATAGAAATGTTGAAGTAATGAACTCAGCAGGGCCTCCACCTCTACACTGCAGACTGTTACTGAATGAGGACGATGAATACAGCTGAAGACCTGCTAAAAAGAGATAAGGTGCTGTAAAGAACAGAACTAACAGTAATGAATGAGTTGGTGACAGAGCATGTAATCTCTGAATGTGTCTCACGGTCTGAGAATGTGATTGAGTAATGATCCAAACCACTCCAACCACAGAAGGACATCTGGCCATGTTGAAATCAGTGACAGACTTGACTACAGAACCCCATTTCTGTACACCACTCCATTCACTGCAATGTCCTCAGTTGCTTTCTGTGATACTGCTACTTTCTGTTTTGTTGTCTTTTTTCCCTTGTTCTAGCTTCAACTGATCTTTTTTAATACAAAAGTTGAGACAAAGTTAGTTGTTTTCCATCACTCATTATTTATTCCTTGACAAATTTCTTTTAGAAATCTTTGAGTAAAATGAGTGAACAGTCATTACAGGTGTCCATCAGAATTATTATGTTTAATTAATTACATAAAAGTAAAGAAAAAGTTTTTTTTTCCCAAAAAACCCCCCCCAAAAACAGAAAGCAAACCTAAGCGACACAGGTTGAAGCTTTTTACACCTTTTGGAAGAGTTGTTTTTTCCACTGTGCAGCACAAAAAGGATACAGAATTATTTCTGAAAATGTCAAGACTCCCATTTTTGGCTAAAGTCCTAGAACAAGATGTTTCTTATGAATTACAAAACCTCTATCTTCATCATCATTTATTTGTGCCATTTCTATCTGTTTCAGAGATGGGCATGGCACTGAAACTGTCCTGATCAGAGTTATGGGCAATCTTAATATTATGAGATATAACATCTCATGCTGATCCAGTAAGCTAAGGTGTTCCCCTGGGGTCAGTCCTAGGACCTATCTTGTTAAGCATTTTTTTATGCTACCACTGGGGAAAGCATGAACAAATATGACTTTGATTATCATTGCTATGCAGATCACACCCCAGTTTACACTGGCTGAAAGTCTAGTTTGTCTTCCACTACAGCTGCTTTTACTAATTGATTCTAAGAAATAAAGTCATGGATGCAAACCTAGAGTGAGCCTACTCTTCACTACCACACCCTCTGCAGAGAGAGAATATGCAGCCTGATCTCCAGGTTAAACATTTACTTGATCACACAAGCGAGGAACAGTAATCACTAACTTCAGGCCAGTTCTGATCTACATCGGTAGGAATTTGCAAGTCTAATATAACAATGCAAGTACTTATCAGGGCTGTCCTTGTCTGTTCTGTTATCTACACAGTGTTTCACCTTTATATTGAGCTTGCAAGGAATAAAAAGGAGTGTTTATTTAAGGGGTGCCCATTATGTCCTAACTAACCAAACATAGACCCACTTCACTAATAATAATAATGCATTTTGTTCTAAAAATTTAATAAGAATTGAATGAGAATAGGACTTGCTGTCTTCAGGGCACCTAAAGGAAATATGACTAAAAGCATGATCTTGTTATGATAATATCTGGAGACGAACATGAAAACTTTGAGGATGAATGTAGGTGGGAACAAACTGAATGTGCAACTTCTTAGTCAATGCAATGCTTTGTAAATGTGGAGCTCAAAGTAATGGGAAATGGTGCACTTGTTAACATTGTCTGATGGACAACAAGTGTGTCACTATTATGATGTTGTAAAGGCAACATTAGTTCTTGCAACATAAAAACAGTTCCATTAGCCAAGGATAGCTCTTTGCTAAATAGCTTCTTTTGCTTGTGTTTTTTGGCTACTCTGGAGGTTAAAAGAACATGGATTAGAGAAATTTGGGGGCAGGTTTTACAATGGGGTGTACTTTTGTTAGCAGCGGATATCTCCTCAGGCACCAAAAAGTTTAACGAGTTGTAAGGAGATGCGTTATCTCCTTACAAGATCACACCTGTCCCCAAAAATCAATAAACAAACATGTTTTTCATGCTCAGCAATAACTTTTAATCACATTACAATAACTGTGCAGCAATTCTTTCCAGAAATCCAAACCATATGAAAGTAAAGCAACTGAACACAATGACCTGAAAAATTGAACAGCCAAGTGTAGTCAAGTGTGACAGCAGACAGAAATAAAGAAATCATAACACAAGTGTCAAGCATAAATTGAACTTTTTCATCAGTGTGGAAAGTTTTGGAAAGGCACCTCTACTTTTTGTAGATTAGGTTGTACTCAGTAAGTGGTAAAATAGAGTAAGCTTTAAACCCCTGTGGAGTTTTTATGGTCCTTACTGTAAATCTACCAAATACCTGTTTTTCATGCGCCATTGGCCAGAGATCAGGATTAGGCTCTTTACTACAGGGAAGCGATGCCATAGTGTTTCCCATGATTAGGCCTACTTTATGTTGGTAAGCTAGAGATTCCTGGATATATATTTTAAGTGTTTGTAGTGACTTATCAAACTTTGTCAAAAACCTGTTTACATATTCCTGACCATGTTCACTACCAGCTTTACAAACATGAAACATGATGATTCCGTTCTTTGGCACAGAGTCAATCAACAATGTTTTAACAAACATGGACAGAATATCTGCAAGTGTGTCTGAATCCTTTCTGCAAATAGTTTTAGCACTGCCAAAAAAAACACCATGGCAGTGGATGTGAATAAACAATTCCTTAGCAGATGATACTGTGGTGGGTGCAGGTTTCTGATTCTGATCTAGAGAGATTTTACCATTTATTTTCCCAAAAATGTCATGTGGGTATAAGTTCTTTATGTCATTTGTATCATCTGTATCATCATCACTGTAAACGTGTATGTGAACACTGGGCTCTTTCCCATAAACTTTAAGTTTTTTATTCTCCAGGTTGTCAACGAGGTGACCTGTAAAAGCCTCTCTTTCTTTTGCCGTCCCACAGCTGTCTGGAAGTTCGACTCTGATTCTTTGCTGTGGATGCGTTTCCACATCCTGAACTCGCAACAGCTTCAACAAAATGTCGGCTAAACCCTGCGCTGTGTGTGAACCCACTTTCAAGCCATTCTGATCAGATGTGCAAGCAGATGTCAGCTTAACAACCACTGAATCTGCCTCCTGGATTTTCACCCGAAATATATTTACAGGCTCTAGTTCAGGTCTCCATGCAGTAAACACTGTCCTGAAGCTGAATGTATTTGAATGGTAGTGAGCAAAAATGCTGTAGTATTTTTCATCTTTTTCATATTCTGGAACCTTTGCTTCTAAGAGAGTTTTCACCTTTCCTTCTAGATTTTGAAGACCAAAACCCAGATAAACATTTATCACCCCTCGCCCCACTGTGATTCTGTCATTTGTTCTCTGTACCACTTCTTCAAACTCCTTTTGGAATTGAAAGCCGTGAGGTGTTTGCAGATCATACGGAAACACCACAATAACAACGGGGTCACCTTTGAATATCCTTAAAATGAACTCTCCTAATTCCTTACCACTGATCCTTATATTATCCCAATTAAAAATTACATTTTGATCTCTGTTATTGTCCAGTTCAATGAATTTTCCTCTTATGTACAGTTTTATGAGTCCACTTTTTTCAACAAGATCTCTCTGAACAGTGTTAGTGTACAAGGGTGTAGCTGCATCTTTAGGATTATACCTTATTTTTATTAGACCAGTTATCTTTGTTGCATCATCTTTGCCATCAACGTTAAGTTGAATGTGGACAGGGCCTCCCAAAGCACCACAGAGGATGATGACTTGAGTGAGGGTCCAGTACACCACGGCCCAGCTCAGGACAGAGGCCATTGCAGGTACTACACTCTCTTCAACTGAAGATCTTCGACGGTGTATTCTGATGCTAGAAAGTACAGTCATTTTAAATACTCAAGCTTTAAAGCTTTTGTCTTTATGTTTAAATTATCCAAGTGTATCTGTCCATGTGGAGTAATGAACTGACCTTTGCTGGAAATGTTGTGGACACAATGTAAAGTTTGTATTAACATTAAATGACTATTGTACTTTAAACAGACTGTAGCTACAGTGCACTCAGACTGTTGTTCATTAAATACAGTTACAGCACATTATCTGAAAGTAGAGCTGTAGAGATGTAGAGCATGTATAGTGCAGATGTAGAAAATAGTTCTACTCACCTTTCCTCCAACAGACCCTGAGTGAAAACTTCCTCTTCTTACCTCAGAATTTATAGGCCAATATAATCAGCATTCAGCCAATCAGAGGTCTCACACAGGGTGGAACCATTATTCACCGTTTCAACATTATTTGCATGTTCACCTCAAAATGGTTCTTTAACCCTCGGTAGCTTCTTCTAGGCCTCTTAGCACTACTGTTTTTATTCAGATGATTGAAATTTGACCCATGAGTACACTGGGAAAAAAATAGGCCAAGCCCAAATTGTAATGGTTTTTACTGAAGGTTTTGGCCTGGGTGGTCAGACTCCAGATTCAAACCCTATAGAGAATGTTTAGTTTGAAGGGTTTGGCTTGTTGGGCTTGGCCAATTTTTTTGCCCAGGAGTGTACTTGCTGTACATTAGTGAGGCTGATTAATGTGTGGAGTGCAAAAAACTGCAAAAAATGGTATCTTGTCAAGTAAAATTATCTTAAATCTAGTTGACACATCTAATATTTCTCCTGTTTAGATTGTTGTAAGCTTAATTTAAGACTTTTTACGTCATTTCTAGACATTTTTTCCTTGTTTGAAGGAATTTTATTAAGCAAAATTATTTCACTATATTGGCAGATAATTTTGTGTGTTTTGCGTGAGATAATTTTACTTGATAAAATTACCTAAAACAAATGGAAATTGTCTAGAAATAAGCTAGATGATATTATAATAACTGTACAGCTTCTCAAACTTTTAGATATATTGACCACACTTAAGATCATTTCACTTGACAAGCTACCATTTTTTTGCGGTGTATAGTAAGCTGGACCTATAGCACCTCAAAAGCTGTAAGATTTATGTTTACTGTAAGTTTGTACCTTGTCCAGCTCTCATCTAAATACTGATGTCATGAACATCTAACAGCTACAGATGCAAAAAGTGGTATAGTAATGCAACATAGTAATGCTGACCCAATGCAAAATATGAATCTCGAACGGCAGTAGGACTGTCACGATTATGAAGTTTTAGCTGAGGATTAATTGTCATATAAATAACTGTGATGTGAAAACAAACCGAGCGAAAGTACAAACCTAAAGTGGCCAAATAAGTTTAAAAAAAAAAGTTGGGACACAAAGTAAAAGGCAAACCCCCCCCCCAATAATTTAGATTTACTTTGACCTGATTTTGAACAGCACAAAGACAATTGACCTCATCAACTTCTTTGACTTTTTATAAATATATATATACACACATTCTGAAATTGAAAGTACAAACCTAATGAACTGATAGCTAATCTTCATCCTAACTATATTTACTGAATGAAATTTCTACAGTTACACATAAGTGTGTAAAGTCAAGCAAAGCTGCATTATTTTCTTGAGAGTGAAAACATAGGCAAACATGCTAACATGCTAGCATACATGCTAACATTGTTAGCAGCATAGCTAACACATAGACAAACATTACTTGTGCTGTCCTCTAAACATCTCAGAGAATAAACTTAGAAGCTTTCATGGGTTCCATGCATCTCCATGAGCGCAGTCAGTTAAATAAATTCCATTAGGCACTGATGTAATTATTGTGAAAGGCCTGGGTAAAAGTTCTTAGAATTGTGTCCAGCTGCACCTGGAAGATACATACATTTTTCCTATCAAGGACTGATAAGTACAAACTCAGCCTGCAGAAGTTCTATCAGTGGATGCAAATGTTTGGTCTGCTATTCGGTTGGTGGTTAGAACTGAACATCAAACATGCCGCAATGTTGTAGAAGACATGTCAGTAGATATATGACTGTGATTAACCAAATTGGGTAAGAGATTAACTCTCATTCACTGGACAGTGTTCTCTGGATGTTACATAGAGCTTTAGTGAAGTGTTGTATCAGTTATTGTGCTCTCATGTTGTCTATGGCTCCAGCACACTAGCAGTCTTAACCAGATCAGGATGTAATTTGGTAGCAATTTTGATGGACAGAACATGAAAAGTGTTTAAAAGACAATTAAATTACATTTTTGTCCAAATTAATTTTCCAAACCTCTGAATTCTCAATTTACAAATTCAGTTGGAAGTTGGAACAGAATAAAAAACAGTGATGTATAAATCTACTTTGAGCTGTTTTTGAACAAAAACAATAGAACGACTTGTATAAAGACTATTTATTATTATGAAACTTAAACTGGGAAATATTTTTTTTTGAACGAGATCAATTTGATTCAGTGCTGTTAACAGGAAAGGTGATGTAGGTGTTAACGGTAAACATGCTCCTGTCTCAACTTTTTGGAATGTCTTCCAGGAATCAAATATGTTTACAGAAAACAATGAGGTTCATTAAGTAGAACATATCATATTGCATTTTTGTACCTTTTTCCAAGTTAGAACTGACCAAACAGAATTTCCTAATCACTGTTTTCTGTTCTTATTGCCATTTCACACACTGTTTCAACTTTTTTTGGTATTGTGTTCAAAATTCCAGGAGTCTTGTTTGCTTTTTACCTTAACAATGATAGTGAGATCTAGATTAATATAGGCACAAGTCAAACTTGACTAACAGCAGAGGAAGCCAAACTCATATAAAGCCATTCCAGTACCAGCCTCAGTCCAGACAACCAAACAGAGGCCAAACCCAAATGCAAGTAAACATGAAGACACAGTACAAAAACAATCTCAAGGCTTAGAATTGCAAGAGCTCAGGGAAGACTTTGCAAAGATGCTAAGAAAATAATAGCATGACAAATGGTAAAAAGATCAGATAGTTAAACTGGAGGTGAACGTGGCCTCTGCAGGCGAGGAGGGGTAATCCCCTGTTAAGGATGTAACAGTTACCTTTCACAAATGTTTGGTAGACCATTGAAGGCCTATCCAAGCAAGCAAGTAAGCAAGCAAAGTTTATTTATATAGTGCTTTTAACAACAGGTGTTGTCACAAAGCAGCTTTACAGAAAAATCCAGGTCTGAGCCCCCATGAGTGTCGCCAGTGGCAACAGTGGCAAGGAAAAACTCCCTAAGATCAAGAGGAAGAAACCTTGAAAGTAACCAAAACTCAAAAGGGGAACCCATCCTCCTCTGGTCGACATCGGATAGCAAACAGCATTAGCATAAAGTATTATAGTACAAAACGGGGAAAACAGGCGGGGCGATGGTTAATTAGATAGTTTGAGTTTATGCAGAAGCAGCATCATCAGGAGGGTCAGTTCATGAGGGTGAGGTTTGCACAGCGTTGTACAGCATGAAGCTCAATGGTGGTTAAGCCGGTCCAGAAGGCTGGCGAGCAGTGGGCACCCGACCAAGGCAGAAGAGGGAACAGCATCAGACGCACAGGATGGGCAGCTGCTCGGCAAAGAAAGGGAAACACACAGAGAGTCAGTTCTGTAAAGAGCGACTGATCACAGATTACAGTACTAACAGAGCAGCAGAGACTCCAGCAGGTCTAGTTATTACAGCCCTTTACTAAAAGGAAGAAACCAGAAGGTTACAGAGACATGAGGGCTCCCTGAGATGTCAGCGCCCCTCCGCTCCACCATCAGCAAACTTCAGTGAACGCGTGAGAAGCAGCGGGACGACAGCGCCAACACTCCCAGTTTACCATAATACTCTATGACCATGAACCCCCAGATCTGCACCTTTTATCTGACAGGGAAAACTAATTACCAAAGGCTTGACTAAACAAGTAAGTTTCTGGCCTGGACTTAAAGATTGAGGCTGTGTCTGAGTCCCAAACACTGACTGGAAGATTATTCCAAAGCTGGGGGGCTTTGTATCTAAAAGAATAGTTGGTCCCACTTTATATTGTGTCTCTAAAAACTGTGTAGTTACACATGAATACCATATGTAACAACACTGTAACTACTGATGATTTTGTCAATGTTACAGATGGATTAATGAAGTACAGCCTATGTAATTACACATGCGTATCAACTTCAGTTTGGCTTAATGTAATTAAACAAAACGTCTACACATGAACTTTGCTGTAGTGTAGTGTTAAAGTTACACTTTCAAATAAGTGGACAGTTCCTAAGTAGTTCTTATATAGGTACTATGTAATAATTGAGTAGTAATATAGACATTGCTTTGAGAGTAATCCAACACATTTAATTCATGTTGTAAAAGACGTCTGCTGTACTGTCACATATGCATACAGAATATACATGGTTTAAAGTTGCAACATAAATGCTAGCTAAATGTAAGGAAAGCTGGCAGATACAGTGTAAGTAATGCCTTAATGTACGTTATTAGATACTTCCTTTTACTGCTGGAAAAAAAAAAACGTCAAAAAAAATGCTGTTCTAGTCTGATTACAAATGTAATTACATTTGTGTTATTACTCTTATGTAATTACATGAGAGAGACTAGGCTGTTACAACTATTAAGATACACTTATGTAATTACATGAGGCAAAACTGAAGTTGATACACATGTGTAATTACATAACGTGCACTTCTGCAATCCATCTGTAACAGTGACTAAGTCATTAGTAGTTACATTGTTGTTGCAGATGTTGTTCACATGTAACTACACAGTTATTAGAGACACTTAATATAAAGTGGGACTGAATAGTTACAACATTATATCCAAAGTGCTTATTGAAATGTACATGCTATAAGCAGCTAGTACTTCACACAGTCTTAAAGACACAGTAAAACAGCTTGTTTAACTAAAGGATAGCGATAGCTTAGAAAATGGTCTTGTAAAAACTGATTACGACCATTTTTCATGCATAAAATAACACAAATGTTTTATCTGTAAAGATGACATCAGAGAGAGAAATAAAACACAAGGAAACTGTAATATATGGGCCTTAATAGCCTGTAAGAAATGCATCTAATATATTCTTGATGTTGCGTTTTGCAGTTTTTCAGGGAATCTTGCAATTTAAATATTGTTAGAGGAGCCTTCACTGCTGTTCTATGTCATGTAAAGATCAAACATTTATTTAATATTTTTTTCAAGCTATACATGCCTTATTCGAATACCAGAATGAGAACCAAGTAAGTGTGAAGAGCTTAGATATCCAGATACTCAAATAACAACATCTGCCCACATAATTTAATACTTAAGCTTTGCTATCTAGCATCACTGTCACTTATAGAACATAACTTAGTTTCAGTTTGTTCTATTAGTGTCATATGGTAAAGACAAAGAAACTAGTGTGTTCTTGCCTAAACACATCGCTCACACAACCCCAAGCATTATAGCAGGTTAATACACATCATAAAGCTCTATTCATCTCACACACAACATGACATTGACTTCCCTGCTGCAAGAGTGGGGTTGCCGAGTGCTGAGGTGTATAGTGCATGAAAATCTCCAACACTCTGCACTGCAGAGTTTCAAACCTCCTCTGGCATTAACATCAGCATAAGAACTGTGTGCTGGGAGCTTCATAGCATGGGTTTCCATGGATAAGCAGCTGCATGCAAGTGTCGGATGGAACTTTGTAAAGCTGGACTCTGTAGCAGTGGAAATGTATTCTGTGGAGTGATGAATCACGCTTCTCTATCTGGCAGTCTGATAGACAAGACTGGGTTTGGTAAATGCCAGAAGAACATTACCTGCCTGACTGCACTGTGCCAACTGTAAAGTCTGGTGGAGGAGGGATGATGCTATGGGGTTGTTTTTCAGGGGTTGGTCTAGACTCCTTGGTTCCAGTGCAGGGAAACCAAGACATTTTGAACAATTATATGCTTCCAACTTTGTGGGAACAGTTTGGGGAAGACCCTTTCCTGTTCCAGCATGACTGAGCCCCAGTGCACAAAGCAAGATCCGTAAAGTCATGGTTGGGTGAGTTTGGTGTGAATGGAGATTGTGAGCCAGGCCCTCTCGCCCAACATCAGTGTCTGACCTCACAAATGCTCCTCTGGATGAATGGGCAAAGATTCCCACAGACACTCTCCAAAATCTTGTAAAAAACTTCCTAGAAGAGTGGAAGCTGTTATAGTTGCAAAGGAGGGACCAACTCCATATTATTGCCTATGGATTTAGAATGGGATGTCATAAAAGCTCCTGTAGGTGTGATGTGTGGGTGTCCCAATACTTTTGTCCATTTGTATGCGAATGCACAATAGATTATGCAAATGCAAATGTCTCTCTCAATGTGATGCTATTTACTCAAAAGCAATTCAAAATCTTTGCTGTTGAGAGTTTGTTGCTGGATTGAACACTAGAGGGAGCTCTGAGGATTCTAACCTATTCTCCTGAGTCAAAGAGGAAACAGTGAGGCTGCCTGTTCACCACTTTCTCTTTCTTCTTCCTAGCTTAAGATTTTAACCTGTTAGCTGGGCACCCGTGCCAGGGCGCTACAGTAACGACTACCAGACCAAAAAAGGAGCAGAAAGAAACCCATTCTGTTCACAAAACACTGAGGAAACTGAATCCGATTTGGCCCTCACTGACGTACTCTGCGGTAAGTCACTTACCATGTCTGCTCTTCATTTTAGGCCATATTTGGATCTGAGTGTTCTGGTCTTGCAGTTTCCTTTTTGCCCTTTGCCTTGTATCTGGATATTCAGTATACAGTCAGCTGTGCTGCCTGTGTTTTGACCTCTGCTGAGTGTAATGATGCCAGTTAATGGAACAGAGCTTGTGCCTTTTATACTTTTACAGTATGAACTCTGCTGTGTTCTCTGTCAGTAGACTCAGATCTCCCTGAATGTTTGTGCCTGTTTGGTAATTAGGCTACTGATGGGACATTTAACCACAAGAAGTTCCTGCAGTATTCATTCAAAAGTTTTTGGTAGCACTTTACATTACACATTGGTAATAAATGAGTAATGATATGGTAATATGACAGTAACAAGTGGCACTTTCCAAAAATGACATGTTAATGTTCAAGTTGTTATTAAATAATAGGTTTGTAATTGTAGCAATGACAAGTTCATAATAAAATGGTTATATAATGGTAATAAATAATACTAACCTAAAACTGACATGCTACTTTTTGAGTTGATACAAAATAATAAGTTAGTATGATAACGGTTACAAGTTAGTAATAAATTGTTATATAATGGTAATAAGTAATACTAACCTTAAAATTACATGCTACTTTTTGAGTTGTAACTAAGTAATAAGTTAGTAATAAAATGCTTACATAGTGGTAATAAGTTATACTAACGTAAAACATATGGTAATTGTTTGTTATTAAATAATAAGTTAAGATGAAGAGAAACCTCTTTTATAAAGGTATATGTGGTGTGGTGTCAGTTTTTCCACCGCTGAACTCATTTCTGAACCTTTTTTGTCAGATCTGTGCTCCATGGTAGAATAACAGTATTTTGTTAACAGGTAACACAAAAGTAATGTGATGTTGTATTTCCTGGATTCTGTATAATCTCAGTATATTCACCTCATCACAGCACGTGTCTACAGGAGCGCCTACGTTTAAAACTAATAGAACAATCATGCAGACACTTCCATAACATAATGGCAGTTGATTTAAATGCAGTTACTCTTTTTATTTTAAAGGACTAATGTTGGAATCTGAGAAAACAAGATGTAAAAAAGTAAATTTGCATTTTGCAGCTCCACTACCATTTAGTTTCACTGTAAGTACAGCGTTGTGTTTGTACATCGTTCTGCATATTATTATTAAAAGCCATAAGAAACTAAGTAAAACTGTGTGAATTAGTATTTCACAGCACTAACAACACATCATTTCAGCAGAACTGCTTTATTGTTTCTGTGGTAACCCTAACATTATAAAACCCTATAATGATTTCAAATGATTGATTTGATATGTTGATTAAGCAGTTATTATGCTTTAAGAGCTAGACTCACTGTGTATATCAAACTGAAAATCAACATTTAACATTTATTTATGCACAACTGTAATTTGGTACACTCTCAGAAATAAAGGTGGTAAACTGTCACTGGGGCAGTACCCCTCTTGTTACTGGGGTGGGACCCTCAAGGGTACATCTCAGTACCTTTAGTCAGGGGACATAACTGTACCATTATCCACTGATATTATATTTTCTAAGTACTGACTCCACACACCCCGTCTGTCTCCAGGCTTTTATTTTATTGTTCTGTTTTACAGAAATTCGGTTATGAAAAGGTACAAATACAAACTTTTCACCTGGAAAAGCTTATTTAAGGTTCACAGTTTGACCTTAAAACCACTGTTGTACCTTTGTAGGTACATTTACATTGTTTTTACTTTGATGAATGAAAAATGTACCTGCACAGAACCTTTATTTTCAAGTCTGTACAATTATTTTTCTAGTTACCGCAACAATAACTAACTTCATAACAACCAGAAAAATAGCATGTCATTTTTAGGTTAGGTACAGCTTTTTACTGTTATTTAACCATTTTATTACTGATTTGTTACCATTACAATTATTAACTTATTATTTAGTAACAACTTGAAAATTAGCATTTCATTTTGTGTTAAGAATAACCTGTTACTGTAATATTACTATATCATTAACCACTTATTGTGTGAACCTTCGAGTTAGAAAAATCAGATCTGACCAAAATTCTGAATTGAGCAACGAAACTTGAAATGTGAGCGTAGCCTAAATGCACTCATAGGCACACATTTGAACCTAACAAGCCAGCTGGTCGTGTTTGTAGATTGGAAGTGCTAATCATGTCCATCATTCCAGTTGTTTACATTGGTTAGTGATGTTAAGTAGGAAGCCTGGAGTTTATAGTAGTTTGAGATGCATGTTTTCAAATTGTATTAGATGTCATAAAACATTTGGCAGTCAGAGCTGAGACACTTGTGTGAGTGGATCATTGTAAAGTGTTGCACAGACTAACCATTTCACAGGTTTTCTGGATAAACTGTGCCTAAAAAGCACTAAAGAACAGGAGACAGCTGCCCTAAGTTCAATGCAAATGAAAGGTTATTGGTGTGAGATTGGTCAGCAGTGTTTGAAACAATTTATTTGGCTAGTTTAAAGGCTTTATTTTGACTTTCATTTGATTTTGATGCCAAAGCTGGCAATGAATGCTAAACCAACCAAGTAAATGAAAAGACAGAAGTATAGTTGGACGTTAGTTTTACATATTTTCATGATTTCAGTATAAAAACTGAACAAGTGATGTCAGTATAAAAACTTTAGAATTTAGAACCATTGACCAACTTTGTTTGCACACAGAGGGATTAGACCTCCGTATTTAACCCATCCGTGCTGTGAAACACCCACATACATGCACACTAGTGAACACACATGCAAGGGGGCACTGAGCACACTTGCCCGGAATGGTGGGCAGCCCTATCCATTGCGCCCGGGCAGCAGTTGGGGGTTAGGTGCCTTACTCAAGGGCACTTCATTCATGTACTGTCGGCTCAGGGAATCAAACTGGCGACCTTCCGATCACAAGGCTGGTTCCATAACCTCCAGCCCTCGACTGCCCCCGTTTTTAGAACTTTTAACTGATTTTTATCTCAGTATAAAAATATCTAAATATATATACACTGAACTTTATTACCACATTGTTAACACCCGCGGAAAAAGGGCTCCCTACTTCTGAAATCTCAATACACCCCATGCACCTATCACAAATTAAAAGTTAATTTACTGACCTGAACTGCCCTTATCGACTTGGCCTCACTGTTTCCCTTTAGCTGAAACCACAATGGCATTTTAAGGGCCGTTAAATATTATATTAGCACAAATGAATTTTATTTAATTGTATATACTAGTGCTCGGATGGTCAATGGGATATAAGTCAGCATAAATTCAGCAGCAGAATTTATCCAGAAATCATTGAGTTTACATCAAATGAAAGTCACAACAAAGTCTTTAAACTGAAAAAAATGGGGTCAAAGCTGTTCATAATCAGTAGTAATATAATATTTAAAAGGCAGATATCTTACACTGTTCTTATATTTTATTGTTCTCTTTATGGTCCATTTATAACATTTGTCTGATTTTATGTACCAAAAATGACCCATTGTTACACGACTACTTTCCATCCTCCAAGCCCCCGTGAACCAGCCAATGGCGACAGTGGCAAGGAAAAAGTCCCTAATAGCAAGAGGAGGAAACCTTGAGAGGAACCAAGACTCAAAAGTCGAACCCATCCTCCTGTGGTCGACACTGGACAGCAAAGTCAGTAATACAAGAGCAAAATGACCAGAGAATAAGATTTTACAATTAGAATAAAATATTAAAATACGGGACTGTATGGACTGGAGAGTGAATGGTTTCACACACGCAACTTCAAGGTCAGTTGCATTTAATAGATATTTAGTTGAAAGTTAGTTAAAAATAGACTGAATATCTACAAAGCGCCTACAGTGGGCCATCCAAATAAAGTATGACCGATTTCTGTAGCAGAAAAACAGACAAAAATTTGAAAACATAGTTCAAACAAATGAATCTGGTGTTAAATGTATGTTCTTTTCTTTTAGGATTGAAACGTTGGTAGCAAGCTGCCTCCAGAATGTTGAAAATGCTGGATACTGCTGAAAATAATGCTGACAGGTCCCTAGTGCCCCTTGGAAACATGAAGTACCGATGGGAGAAGTGGCCAGGAGTGTATGGTACAGTTTCAGAGGTATGTATGAGTTTCTAATGAACACTGTGGTGGTTTGTATTTTTAGAAGCCATGTGAATCATTTTCCCAGTATGAGTCTCAAAGAAAGCTTTGAATCACGAAGTATTTGCTCTGTTGGTGTTGTGACTGCATGCACTCACAAAGCAAAGAGTCACATTTCATACAATTCTGTTACAGATTGACCGTCTGAATGATTGATCTTCTTAGTTTACTTTTTAATGCTTCAGTAGATGCTGAAGCGAAACACAAAGTGTAGTTTATCTTGTTGGACAGAAGCCTTGTTAAGGTGTTTTCACACCTGAGTCAGGACTGAACTAGACCACACAACACTTTTATCACTGCTAGTACTGAACAGATGGACATCTATCTTTATAGCATTCTTCAGTAAAAGACATGAAAGCCACTTGTAATTAGCCAAAAAGGACATAAAGGACTAACAGTCCATGACAAACATGGTTCTATAGTCTGATCAAACTAAGATTGAGCTTATTGGCCTAAATGCCAAGTGTTACTTCTGGAGGAAACCGGGCACGGCTCTTATAGCTGCAAGTTTTATCTCTACAGTGAAGCATGATGGTGGCAGAATCATGTTCTTGGGATGGTTTTCAGGAGTAGCGTCTGGTAGACTTGTCAGCAGATAAAGTCACACACTAGATCAGCAGAAGAAAAAACTGTGGAACAAGACAGCAGAGAGCAGAAGCAGTAAGAAAAACAAAGAAATTAAATTATAACTTTCACCATACATGACAAAAAAGTTCAACAACCATCCATACACAGTAGTCATGCTCTTTCACCGTTCTCCTGGTTCCCATGGATGTTACTTTTCCAAACAAATCCAAGTAATCAACTAAGATCATGCTTTGAGTTTTTGGGAAACTTTAAACAATGTAACACTGTATTACTGCATATCATTGTTGTTGCACCTGAATCTCAGACAGTTCTGACAGCGCTGATCATCTTTATTTTTACAGTATTGTACAACATATACAGCGCAGCCAACAGCATTTATGGAAAGGGCCCTTTTCATGGGTATTTAAAAAGGTATAGATAATCAAAGCTTGTGATGTGAAATCAGCGGCTGCTGTTTGTCTGTATTTTGACAAAGAGTGCTACTGGATTTGGATCAAGATGACAAGAGAAAAAGATTTTTATTACTGGGCAGATGACAGGAGCTTCAGTTATAAAGACTGCTTTATGATACTGTTTCGATAGGAACAGTGACTAAAGTGACCTCTGCATTTAGATCTATGATAAAGACATCACTGAGCTGTGGTCGAAAGTGCACACGCAGTGAAAGTGATGCTCGTGTATTAGTGTGATATGTAATATCCACTGTTCCTCGGGTGACTGAGATTGTTAGTGCATTATGTGATCAGACTGTGTCAACAAGAACAGTGTATACATATTATAGCAGAGTTGCAGTGCATAAACCCCTCAGAGTCAGATGTACATTTGTGAGTTTAGTGGTGCAAAACCATCAGCACTGGTCTGCAGAGATGTGGAAAAACGTTATGGTCAGATGCGTCATTCTTCACCACACTCTCCACAAATGAGCAAGAGCATGTGCAGCAAGAGAACAGAACAGGTCTGAATGCCCCCAACCTTCCCCCTATATAACTAACAGAAGTTCAGAAGAAGATTAGTAATTTTACTTTAGCCAAGGCAGCGTTCCACCCCTCTGCAATCCTAGCCTTGGTCTCGTGTATACAAGCTTTTGAAAGCTCTATTGAGATGATATCCAGTAAGGTTAGAGCCCAACAATGTCTACACAATGAAGATGTGGGGTTCCAGTGTTTAAAACTCTACCATAATGAAGGATGAAGATTTTAAATGTATTAAAAAAAATAATGAATCTGGTTTTAAAATTGTGTTCTTCTCTATTAGGATTGAAACTTCTAAAGCAAGCTGCCTTCAGAATGAAGCCAAAAACAATGCTGCCACATTCCTAGTACTGCTGGGAGATGTGACCAGGAGTGTATGGTACCATTTCAGAGGTATGTATGAGTTTCCAATGAACAACGTAGTGATTCGGATTTTCAGAACCCATGTGAATCATTTTCCCAGTGTGAGCTTCTAAGACAGTTTTGAATTGCAACGTACATGTGCTCACAAAGCATATACTCGCATCATTCTGTGACAGACTGACCACAGACCAGGTCATAACATATTAAAGTAAACACAGCTTCATTTGTGCCGGTTTTATTCTCTCATGTGAGCTCAGTGCACATATACGAAAACCTGAATGCTTTAACTTCTTAATTTACTCCTTAATGCTTCAGTAGAGGCTGAAGCTGAACACAAAGTCTAGTTTATCTAGTTGATCAGAAAACTTAAGGCATTTTCACACCTTCAGTCAGTGAAGATTCACTCTGCTGTTATTGAGTCTGAAGCATCTTGACCAACAGCGCTGGCTTGCATTGTCATAGCTTCGCTTGTGCTTGTTGACTCTGATTGACAGTTTGGCCCTTGATTAGTTTCCTTTGTACCACAATCTTGATATTTAGCCCTGCATTACTTAATACTGAGTGATTTGTTTGACAATTACACAGAACTTACAAGCATTGAAAAATCGCCAAGGATAAAAAAACCCAATAAAGGCCATAGGCTTATTTCCACTGTGGTCCTAAAGTGACCTCTGCTTTAGATCTGAGCGAAAGACATCATTAAACTGTGGTTGAAAGTGCACGTTCAGTAAGTGCTCTTGTATTAGTGCGATATGTGAGAGCAACTGTTCTCTGAATGTCAGTGCACTATGTGATCAGACTGTGTCAACAAGAACAGTCTGTCCACAACTGCATATTTATATATACACATTATAGTAGATTTGCTGTGCAAAGACCCACAAAACCCATCAAAGACGGATGAGCATTTGAGAGTTTAGTGGTGTAAAACCATCAGCGCTGGTCTGCAGAGAAGTGCAAAAAAGTAATATGATCAGATGAGTCATTCTTCACCACATTCCCCGCAAGTGTGCACGAGTAGGTGCAGCATACACCAAGAGAACAGAACGGGCCGGAATGCCCCCCAACCCCCTCACACACCTTGGTAGACGTCAGTGAGAGTTAAATAAAGTAATGGAAATAGATAAAACAGTGTGAGCTTCTAAGACAGTTTTGAATTGCAACGTACATGTGCTCACAAAGCATATACTTGCATCATTCTGTGACAGACTGACCACAGACCAGGTCATAACATATTAAAGTAAACACAGCTTCATTTGTGCCGGTTTTATTCTCTCATGTGAGCTCAGTGCACATATACGAAAACCTGAATGCTTTAACTTCTTAATTTACTCCTTAATGCTTCAGTAGAGGCTGAAGCTGAACACAAAGTCTAGTTTATCTAGTTGATCAGAAAACTTAAGGCATTTTCACACCTTCAGTCAGTGAAGATTCACTCTGCTGTTATTGAGTCTGAAGCATCTTGACCAACAGCGCTGGCTTGCATTGTCATAGCTTCGCTTGTGCTTGTTGACTCTGATTGACAGTTTGGCCCTTGATTAGTTTCCTTTGTACCACAATCTTGATATTTAGCCCTGCATTACTTAATACTGAGTGATTTGTTTGACAATTACACAGAACTTACAAGCATTGAAAAATCGCCAAGGATAAAAAAACCCAATAAAGGCCATAGGCTTATTTCCACTGTGGTCCTAAAGTGACCTCTGCTTTAGATCTGAGCGAAAGACATCATTAAACTGTGGTTGAAAGTGCACGTTCAGTAAGTGCTCTTGTATTAGTGCGATATGTGAGAGCAACTGTTCTCTGAATGTCAGTGCACTATGTGATCAGACTGTGTCAACAAGAACAGTCTGTCCACAACTGCATATTTATATATACACATTATAGTAGATTTGCTGTGCAAAGACCCACAAAAACCCATCAAAGACGGATGAGCATTTGAGAGTTTAGTGGTGTAAAACCATCAGCGCTGGTCTGCAGAGAAGTGCAAAAAGTAATATGATCAGATGAGTCATTCTTCACCACATTCCCCGCAAGTGTGCACGAGTAGGTGCAGCATACACCAAGAGAACAGAACGGGCCGGAATGCCCCCCCAACCCCCTCACACACCTGGTAGACGTCAGTGAGAGTTAAATAAAGTAATGGAAATAGATAAACATAATAAAGTGGCTAATAATGTTGGAAAACTATCAGTAAATGGTAATGAGGAGATTAGTCATTTTATGTTAGCAATGGCTGTAATGGCCACTCCTCCACTGTCCTAGTCCTGGCCCCATGTATATGTATATATCCAGTAAGGTAAAAGCCCATTGATGTCTGTGAACATGTGGGGCTCCAGTGTTTTACTACTAATAGTGTAGCAGCTGTTAAAGGGGAACTCGAAGGTTTGGATGTAAACAAAATCATTCAGAGTGTTTTGGTGTGAAATGCGTCAGTATTGTTCACTATTGTAGTTCTAGGAACCAGACATCTGAACCCTTTAATGGCTCTAAAAGCTACATCCCATGAAGTTATTACACAAAATTGTTATAATTGTGTCGCTTGATACCCGAGACATTTAGACAGGCTAACTATCCTGGTCCAGCGCAGTTCACCACCACTCCGAATAATTAACTAGAAAGGTACAACTGTGATCTATCGTGGCTCCTCTGATGCATAACGTTACTCGCATAAGCGATGAGTTTTTGTTGACACCATGTGACAAAATTGGGGTCAACCATATTTAGCACTATTTTGCCATTATCAATGTGACATATAAAACCTTATAAGACACATGTAAGTTCACTGGTCATTTTGGATAGCAGATAAAATGGTGATATTGGTAGTGCAGACATAACGACGTTTGGTTCCTAGTACTACAATAGTGACTGTTGAAAGGCGTATTTCACACCAAACCACTCTGAATGATTTCGCTTACATCTAAACCATTAAATGACTAAGTAATTTTCCAAAATCGGTGGAGTTCCCCTTTAAGGCAGCAAGCAGTAGGTTTCTGCCATAAAGACAGAAAATGAATGTTCTTCTCTGGTAGGACTGAAACGTCGAGAGCAAGCTGCCTCCAGAGTGGTGAAAGTCTGGACACTGCTAAAAATACTGCTGCCAGGTGCCTAGTACCCCTTGAGAACATAAATTCCACATGGGAGAAGTGGCCAGGAGTGTATACCGTATCAAAGGTATGTAATGTAAATACTAAACAATGTGGTGGTTTGGATTTTAGAAGCCATGAGAATCATCTTCCCAGGGTGAGCTGCTAAGAAAGCTTTGATTTGCAAAGTATTCACTCTGTGGGTGTCATTATTAGTGGTCATTGGTGTAGTGTAGTGGGTAACACCACTGCCTTCTACGCTGTAGACTGGGGTTTGATGCACACCTGGTCAAGCACTCTGCGCTATACCAATAATAGTCCTTGGGCAAGACTCCTAACACTTCCTTTGCCTACCTGTGTAAAATGATTAAATTTGTAAGTTGATCTGGGTAAGAGCGTCTGCCAAATGCTGTAAAAATTATTACATGCACTTACAAAGCATACAGATGCATCTCACACCATGCAGTTACAGACTGACCACAGACCAGGTCATAACATACTAAAGTAAACACAGCTTCATTTGTGCCGGTTTTATGATCTTATGTGAGCTCATGTAAGAAAACCTCCTGAATCAGAAGACCCGTTGAAGTGTTTTCACACCTCAGTCAGACTCGACTAGATCAGGATTGAGATGTAACACTTCAATGAGTGTCGTGAAGTTAAACCAAAGCTTATCTTGTTCATCAGAAGACTTGTGAAGATCTTTTCACACACATCTAATCTAGGTTAGGTTGAGCTGTTTTCTGTTCTTCTTTCTCTGTTTCTGTCTCTCTCACCTCAGCTGGGCTGAGGGAGCCAAGAAAGAAGAAAGTCAGTGAAAAGTCACTCACCTATTACTGAATCTGAAACATCTCACTTCGTTTTAGATTCACTTGTGTTCGTTGACTCTGACTGATTAACTTGCTTTGTACTATAATGTTGATATGTAGTAGTCAAGTATTATTTATATATATTATATATACATATATATATACACACACACACACACACAATATATATATACACACACACACAATATATATATATATATATATATATATATATACATAGAGAGAGAGAGAGAGAGAAGGAAAAAAACATACTTTACTTTTGATGTAAGTCAAAGGAACCAGACGTCTTTTCAAATAATTTTCAATTCAAATTTCTTTTGGTCCATTCATCATAAAAATGATGTACAATGTAAAGGACAGGCATTTTCAAATTATGTCAAAATGAAGATACAATATATACATATATATATATTCATACAGAACTTTTACGCATTGCCATAGATTGCCATACATTCCATTGTATTCCTAATGTCATCTCTGCTTTTAGATCTATATGAAAGACATCATTAAACTGTGATGCTCATGTATTAGTGCGATATGTTAGAGCAACTGTTCCACTGAATGTCAGTACAGTATGTGATCAGACTGTGTCAGTAAGAGCAGTCCATCCACAACTACATATTTTTATGTATACATATTAATAATAGAGTTGCTGTGCATAAACCTCTCTGAGACAGATGCGCATTTAAGAGTTTAGTGGTGTAAAACCATCAGCACTGGTCTGCAGAGATGTGGAAAAAAAGCAATAAGGTCAGATGAGTCATTCTTCACCACACTCTCCACGAGTGTGCACAAGCAGATGCAGCATGTACCAAGAGAACAGAACAGGCCAGAATGCCCACCGACCCCCACACCCCCCTTGGTAGGCTCCCCACCTGCCTTGATAGACAGTGACAGTTACATAAAGTAAATCAAACTAAATGACAGGGCTACTTTTTAATTACACAAATAGAACATATAGAATTCTACAAATATACAACCAACATCAGAGCAATATATCATCACACAGCACCAAGCCAGAGTATAAAAACAGCATCTTCAAACCATCTGAGCAAGCTAAGATATCAAAACCAGCAAAGATATAATCTGTGTTTATACACTGGATAATAACTCTGAGCTCTGTTTTACCGGAAATACCATAGCAGCCGGATAACAACACCCTATCAATCTGGGATACTAAAGCAACCACTTAGCAACACTAGCAAACACCTGGGATACCATAGCAATCCCTTAGCAACACCCTAGCAACAACTTGGGATACTGTACCAATAACCTAGCAACAGTATCGCAACCACTTGGGATACCATAGCAACCACCTAGCAGTATCTTACCAAGCTTAAGCTGCAGAATCACTTTCCATTTTCCTCAGGAAATGCACTGGTCTAGTTCCATTTACTCTTTTTTTTCTGTGGGAAGAAGGTTGAGTTGTTTGAAATGATCTGATTCCAAATGTGTACAAGGAGGTATTTTCAGTAGAAACCTATCAACTCATTTTGGGCTGTCTGAAAATCTATTCTTAATGAATTGACAAGAACTGTATGTGACAATAACTGAAGGGACAATTTGTTGAAACTTTTTGAAGCTCAGTACTTCATTTATTTTTTACCTCGTTTTTATCTTTATGAGGTACCAAAATTGCAGCATCATCAGCATAAAGGGAAAATGTCTTATGAGCAAGCTATGTTTGAATCATTATTATAGAAGAATAATCAGCCCAAGTTTAGTTCCTTGAGGAACTCCACATGCAGCATCTTTGGAACTTGAGAGTTCACCCCTGCAGTTGTTAATATAGGACCTAAATTCTTTCTGCTTAATGATTCAATATTTTCTGATGGATTATTCTTCATTTGAGAGTTCAGTGGCATAAAACCATGTGCAGCACAGACCAAGAGAATGGAACAGGCCTGAATGTCCCCCCAACCCACCTTGGTATGCATACCTCACCTTAGCATGCTATAGTGACAGTTCAATATATTAAAATTAATAATGAAAAAAAAATGATAAATAGTAATCAATAGTAAATGTAAAGTATAAATAGCAAAGGCAGTGTTCCACTCCTCCACTGTCCCAGTCTTGGCCCCATACACACAAGCTGTGCAACTTGACAACCACTTAACAGGCTACTGGTTCAATAGGAACAGCGACTAATTGACCTCTGCATTTTGCTGGCATGGTTTGGGTTCACTTGTCCCCTTAGAGTGAAGGGTCACTGAAAATCAATGCAACGTTATTCTGACTGGTCACATTTATCCAAGTGATGAAACATTTCTATTTGGATGGGAGTGGTGGCTTCCAGGATGATGATGTTACCATTCACAGGACATGAGGGGTCACTGAATGTTTTGATCCGTATGAAAGTGATGTAAATCATATGCTACGACCTTCTCAGTCACCAGATCTCAACCCAGTTGACACCTATGATAAATTTTGGACAGACATCATGGAAACACTAATTGAGCAATATTCTAAAATCTACAATCTACAAATCCAATTCAAAAAATTGGAACAATAGGTAAAATGCAAATGAAGAAAGATGTGATTTGGATCTATTTCAGATGTATTTAACATCTTCACCAGCAGCCTGCCAGGTGGAAAGAAAGAGGTGAGATTGTCTGTGGCCATATTTCTCTTATATTCAAACCAAAAGAGAGTATCGTTCCCATTGAGAATGGAGTGCCGTGTAGATTCAAGATTGACAATAAAAGACACAGCCAATTTGAAAAGACACCCAAAGACACACCATCCCACAGTATTTGTCAAGGTAAATATTGTGGTGTCAGTGTAGAAGATGCAGGAAACATCCCAGCAGGCACTGGACGTCAATATGATGTCAGAAAGACGTTGAACTCTAACATCGGACAGACATTGAATTTTAGTTGAAAATGAAAATTGGGTCAACGTCAGCCTCCAAGTCAGCTATCCATCAAAAACCAGCACTGGCTTGCCGTAAACCTCCAAAGTTAGATAGACATTAAACTTTGGTTGGGAATCAAAACTGAACAACGTTAGGTTTATATCAAGCTCCAATGTTAGACAGAGGGAGTGGGAAACCATAGCTGCGGTGTCCAGGGAGCATTTGGGTGCCTTGCTCAAGTCAGAGTCAGGGATTGAGCTGCCAACTCTGCGATTAACTGGCATCCTACTCTACCACCTGAGTCACGGCTGCCCCAACCAAATCCACCGGTCATAGAGTCACAACTAAGCTATGGAGGAACAGTCATGAAAACATCCAGAGCTTAATCAGACATGGGTATTGTGGAAAATGTAGGTTTCTCTGTTTTCAAAAACATCTTGGTCAACACAAAAACACTGAAAACGGAGGTCTCAAAAATGACCAAAACAAAATGTTTTGAATAATAAAAATGCTCTTTAGTTTTAGCCACTTTGCTTTTTCTAGCCTCTACAAATTGGGCATGTTCAGCAGGGTGATGGTGTTTTAAGTGTCTAAGTTTGTCGTTCTGAATGTTTGCATGGTTGTTCCTCCACAGCGTATTCATGACTGATTTCAAGACCACGGTTCAGTGGTAGAGCAGTTTGTTCACCCATTGCAGGGTTGGCAGTTCAATCCCTCACTCCTTCTGTCCATGGCTGAAGTGCCCTTGAGCAAGGCACCCAAATGCTCCCCGGGCACCACAGCTATGGCTGGCCACTTCTCCTATCTAATGTAACATTATGTGTCATAGTGACATTTTTATATGATGGATGAAAGAAGTACAGTAGGTCACTAACAGTCCAAGGTTTGTTTTCTTCCCATGGAATTTTACAGCCAGGAGAAACATCCTTCAGCTAAATCCATTACAGTATCATATCAACTGTCTGAGAAAATGACTAAATCTGAGTTCCACTGACTAAATCTTGACTGAAAACAAAACAGACTAAAATGTGACTTTAAACCAACTACAATTTTCAGGAAATGACTAAAATTGAATTTAAAATTCTTGTCAAAATGAACATTACATAATTATTTATTGCATTTTTGCTTATGTGACTGAAATGAACATTATGTAACTATGCAAGTAGTGTAAATTTCAAATTTCAAATTTTAAAAATTTCTTTTCTGAGTATACAGTTATATACAAAAGTTTGGGCACCCTGGTCAAATGGCATGTTATATTGATTTTCTAAATGAAAATAAGTGAACACATCCTCTACAGAGACACACTTCTGCACATTTTAACGCACAAATTATTGCCTATTTGCTAAATTTAACACATTGGGCAAAACGAAAATAAAGTAAAAAAAAATAATAACATAAAGAAATAAAATATGGCCTGTGCAAAAGGATGACACATTTGATCTTTGAAATTTTTTTCCTATATTTTAAATACAAATATAACATGCAAATATAAATAAACAGAAATTTTGCACTAAAGGTTACAGAATGAAAATGCCAAACTGAAGTGTGTTCTCAGTAGTTAAATTATTCTCTGTATGTTCAATTATTTTCACTTAGAAAACATTTGTTCAAACATTTGCATATTTGTACGACTGTACAGTAGAGAACATGTTCTGTAAAATACACACACAAAGTACAGCAGAATATAATAATTACAGGAGTTAACCATGTAAACTAAGCAATGCAATGACAAAAATCACATTTACACTGCTAATTTTCACCATTTTGTCTCTGGAAGGGGCACGTGGCATCTACATCACACACAGTCAGCTGTCTGTCTGTCTGTCTGTCTGTCTATCTATCTATCTATCTATCATTCACACCTCAGTCAAGGCAGAAGAAGTCCAGAGTTAAGAGGTCTCTCTTATCTCTTCACCTTTAACTCACTCTGTTCTCTCGCTCTCTCGCTCTCTCGCTCTCTTTCTCTCTCTCACTCTCTCTCTCTCTCTCTCAATCTCTCTCTTTCTCTCTCTCTCTCTTTCACACCTGCAGGTTGCAGGGCCTATAAAAGTCAGGGTAGAGTCACTGAGCTGTTACTGAGTCTGAAATGTTCAACAGGACTCTTCTTGGACATTTTGCTAGTGAGACTCACAGCACTGCAAACTTCTAACCAGGTAAACCTCATTTATTAGATTTGTGGAAATAACACTAAAAAAAAACAGAGAAAAAAACTCACAGAACTGCAGTGATCCTTCCGAGTATATAGAGGTGTTAGAGATGGTTAGAGGTGATACAGTTTGGTGGGGATAGAATTTATGGGGAGGTGGTTTAAGTTGGGGTGCTGACATTTTTAACAATGCACAAGTAAAAACTAAATACTATGTGATTTTTTTTCATATTGTGTGGATCATTTATATGAAGCAGAACATAATAAGCAAACCCTGCTGCCTCTTGCTGCTGTGATCTTTTACTGAATGAGGTTTATGCAAATAAGCTGAGCGTCAACCAATCAGACTGTGACATGAGGAGAGAAATGCTTCTGGCACTCCCAAGCTCCACTGACATATCCAGCTGGACATTATTACAGTGGTTGAAAAAGGATGATAATTGGCTGAACATTGACAGTATTTCAAACAATATTAGGCTGCATTCAGGCACAGAAATAGCCAAAGTGGTCAACAGTTGGTGTGAGGAATGACTCAAATGTAGAGTTAAGCTAAGAATCCCTCCGAAATCCCTCCTTTAAAGGGCCGGACCCTACAGCACAGACAGAGTGACAGCAGTTCTGGCTGTTGTAAATGTGATGTTTAAACCTGTATTCATTCTTTCAACCCTGCAGCCTGTAAAAATAGTGTTTTTCAATTCAAGGGTGTATTTCTTCTTTTTGCTCATGATAACAGGCAGGGCGGCTCCCTGAAAGGACAAAACACTCCTGGTTCAGTGCGAGAAACTGAGTAAATGTAAGTAATTATGACCACCTCAGATTAATAACCTATAGTTATCACATCACTAAAGCTCTTTGACGTATAACACAGCCTACACAATGTCTAATATCTAAAAAACTCAACAAAAAATGTAAGCAAATCTATTTATTCATGTATTATAGAACACATTATAATTTTTCTCTTTATACATACTTGTCACTCTCTCTCTCTCTCTCTCTTTCAGGATGAGGCTTTCTGTTCTTCTGACGTTCCTCTTAGCTCTGGCTTGCAGCTCTGGCTCTGGTTCACGCTGTCAGACAGCTTGGAATAAACAAGACGGCTACAATGAATTCTCAGAAAAGCACATTCTGTCAATGAATATTAAAAAAAACCCGAAAGTGAAAGAACTGAATGAAATATTTGAAAGATACCTACAAAAACACAAACTCTGTGGAAGAGTACCTTTGCAGACCTTCTTTAAACAGTCTGACAGAAAAAGAGTTGAAAGCATCTGTAACGGTCAAGGCTTTGAAGACGGTTCTGGAAATCTGTGCATCAGTGAGCACAGGTTCACTGTTTACATGGTGGAAAGCAGGAAAGTCAAAAGTGGTTGTAAAGTGAAGAAAATCAATACTGAGAAACTGTATGTGGTTGTTGGCTGTGGAAAGGTTAAAAACAAATGTCTGCCTGTCCACTTTGAAAATCAGACTAAAGTGGCACCAAACAAAAAAGCTGCCCGCTGTAAACCAACTCAGCTCACTCATCCTGCTCTTACAAACAAAACCTTATTGTTCAATTACTCATCTTCATTTTCACACCAGAGACGGGCGTCTACTTTCATGCTTTTCCCCGTTGGATAAAAGTCTCTGCTTTATATATGAATGCTAATTATATTTCATGAAGAAGGTAGAACATTTAAAGAATGAGGATTCTGATGTTTTACTGCTTTTATTATGATATTATAAACGTCCTCAAATTAAATGGTGAATATGGTTAAAGTTATGATGTACAGAATGCAACTACTACTGAATGCCTGTACTGTAAATAAGAAAAAAGATGTGAGAACATTCTGTACTCAAGAAACTGGTGAAAAAAAGTTTGGTTTTATTTCATTTTATAGCATTTTTTGCTTTATACTGTTGCATTAAAAAATATGAATCAACAATGTGATTAATGCAAAATGTGGCCTGAGTCATTTCTTTACCTGATTATGATCACTAAACACTGATTTATTCTAAATGTAAACTGATTGCATTTAAAAAGAGTTAATATTACTGTAATATTAATTATTGTAATCTGCTCTGAGTCTCTGATTTAGTCAGATTTCATTCAAATGTTCCTACACACAATGCAAAAGTTTGAGCACCCCAGTCATATTCCACATTTTCCATTGACTTTCTAAGTGAAACTAAGTTAACCTCTACAGAGAACTCACATTTAATGCACTATTACTATTGAGTTTACAATAAAAATCATCAAGACATAGAAATATCAAATGTGGTCTGTGCAAAAGTTATGGTACCTTGTAAAATGGTAAAATTAGCATAAAATGCAAAATCGACAAAACATACAATGCAGGTGTTCAACAGGAGTGGGTCTACAGAGTGGCAGTGAGCCCCCTTCCGTGGCATTGCACCCCACTTGCCACTCCAACTCTGCAGCTGATGCAAAATTATACAACACATTAAGTTAAATGCGACGTGTCTGCACTCCAACAACATGAAGCCCACAGAACACAGTTGTCTGGCTGTCTTGTCTCTCTGATTCCTGAGAGGCGGCTCTCTGCCTCCCTCTAGTGTTGGTTTTAGGTCTTACCGCAGGCTTGGTGACAGTGACCCCTGCCTGTGGCAGACCCCTCACAGAGGCAGATGTGGTCTCACAAGGCCTGTGGGCAGAAGAATCTTTGAAGGCCACTCCAACAATAACACATACAATAGTGAAAACCACAGCTGTATGCAAAAGTGTATATTGTGTATTGGGAAAAAATACACACCCAATTCCAGAAAGATTGGGGCAGTAGGTAAAATGTACATAAAAACAGAAAGCAGTGATGTGTAAATCTACAAAGAGAAGATATGTAATGTTTAACCTTAACTTTATTACTTTTGTAAACATATGTTGGTTTTGAAATTGGTGCTTGCAACATGTTCCAGAAAAGTTGTGACAGAGGCAACTTAAGATTACGAACATTGTGAAATGTACAAAAACATCCCAAACAGGTGATGCAATCATGCTTGGGTATGAAAGGAGTATCCAGACCGGGTCCTGTATAAACATGGTAGGTCAAGGCTCGCCACTTCCAACAGTTTGAACAGAAAGTTCCTCAACTAGGGACTGAAAGTATTTTAGGTATTTCACCCTCTACAGTGCAGAATAACATCAAAAGACTGCATAATCAGAGAGTGAGAGTGCAAGACTGACCTGCTTACAGTCCAGAACTGTCTTTCATTCAAACAGTGTGCTATGTTGTCAGTAGCTCCAAGCAGAAGTTGTCCAGAACTGCAGCCCAAGCTCTTCAGTCCAGTCCTGATCTACACTGGTAGGAGTTTGTATATCTAATGTAAAGATGCTGTGGCAGGTGGGTGGTTCTAAAGATGTGATAAGAATTGAATAAGAATATGACATCCTATTTCAATGACACCTAAAGGAAATATAACAAAGTATAGTAATTTCTAGTTTATAAGAACATCAGCTTACATCAACGTGAATGTCTGGCCTAATTTTGGGTGGGAATGTAATGTTTTAGGGTGGGAACAAACTTTGCAATGGTGGGGCTTAAAGGCTCAAAGTAGGGGACAATGATACCCTGGTTGGCACTATCTGATTGCCTGTCGTTATCCCATAGATGCAATGTAAGTTAGCATGTATTTATGCAGTGTACATATTTACCTCCTGTAGATGAGGTTGTATTCAGTAAGTGGTAAAACAGAGAAAGATTTAAACCCCTGTTTAGTTTTTATGGTCCTTACTGTGAATCTGCCAAACACCTGTTTTTCATGTACATATGTCTGAGAACCATACCGGGCTGTACATGGAACCATGTCATCCTTGTGTAATTTCTTTATGTATTGTACATCAGCTCTACCATCATCACTGTAAACGTGTATGTGAACACTGGGCTCTTTCTCATAAACTTTAAGTGTTTTATTCTCCAGGTTGTCAACGAGGTGACCTGTAAAAGCCTCTCTTTCTTTTGCCGTCCCACAGCTGTCTGGAAGTTCGACTCTGATTCTTTGCTCTGGATGTGTTTCCACATCCTGAACTCGCAACAGCTTGAACAAAATGTCGGCTAAACCCTGCGCTGTGTGTGAACCCACTTTTCTGATCAGAAGTACAAGCAGATATTAGTTTAACAGCCACTGAATCTGCCTCCTGGATTTTCACCTGAAATATATTTACAGGCTTTAGTTCAGTTCTCCATGCAGTAAACACTGTCCTGAAGATGAATGCATTTGAATGTTCTGCACTTTACACATTGATAATTAAAATATCAGGTTTATATACATATATAAACTCCAAAAGGTTGTGCTGACAGTTGGTAAATAAAGTCAAATAAAAATATAAAAGGCAAATAAAAACAGAAACCGAAACAATACAGGCAATATATTTAGTGTTTTATCTGATAAAGTTAATGTTTTTTTGTAAATATATGTTCATTCTGAAACTGATGCCTGCAAAACATTCCAAAAAAGTTGGAACAAGGGCAGTTCAAGACTAGCAACATTGTGAAAATGCTCTTAAACAGGTGATGCTATCATGCTATCATGCAAGAATACATCAGCAAAATATTCAAAGGTGATGGAACACAGTGGTAAACATGCTGCTGTCCCAACTGTTTTAGAATGTGCTGGAACAAAGTTGGTAAAAAACATTCTTGGAGCTGCATCTAGGCACAAAGTTGAACTTTATCAATAGCAGAGGAAACCAAACTCAAAGTATAAACCAGTCCAGTACAGGTCTCAGTCTGAGGCAAACAAACAGAGGCCGAATCTGAATGCAAGTAAACTGAAAGACAGGAAACAAGTCAAAAACCAAAATACACTATACAAAAATCACAAGTCTTAGAACTGCAAGAGCTTAAAGAAGACTTTGCAGTGATGTAACAAAATAATAGCATGACAAATGATAAACCAATCAGATAGTTGAGAAACCTGAGGTGAGGGTGACCTCTGCAGGTGAGGAGGGGAATCCCCTGCTAAGGATGTGACAGTTGCTGCCTTTCACAAATGTTTGATAAACAAACAAAGGCCCCAAAGAGTAGTTATGAAATCATATCCATAGTTCTTATTCAAACATATATGCTATAAGTAGCCACCACTATGGACGCTGATGGCATGCAGTTGCTAACTTGACAATAACTGCACAAATTCCATACATTTCCAAAAGTTTGCTTTTCACACCACAAAGGCCACAATTTACAAAGAAATTCATGCCGCAATCAAAACAATGAAGATTAGTCAGCAGATATAATAATGCTGTAAAAAGTATTGGTCTTAGTACAATATGGTACCTCCTGGTTAACCCCTTAAATAGTCTTACATACTAAGACTTATTATTTAGTTATAACAGGGCCACCAATACAAACGGGTTGAGCTACTCTTAGGTTATAGAAGTGTGTAATAAAACTTTGGGCCTGCAGCTTTTTAAGGGTTTAAAGATGAAACTAAGTAATTACAAGTGTTATCAGTCAAACACACCACACTATGCGTCAAACCCCCAAACTTCAGAATCAAATCCTTCTGTAATATAGAGTATGAATATATATAAACTATATAAAAATAAGAATCATTATGATCTTTTAAATGAGAAATGCATTGATGACTGTAACTAGGTGGTGTGTACAGAGAAGCAGTTAAATTTTTTCAACATTGTTGCTGAAATCTGAATACTTAGAACATTAATTTTTGTTCTGATCCTGTAAAAAATTCAAATGAAGTATGTAAGAATTGTTACAGTCCATAAATGGAAGCCAAGCTGCAAAGACAGCCCATTCTGAATTCACTGTTTTTGTGATGTCATGAAAACCAACACATTTACGTATATCCACCTACTCGAGCCAACAGCAGTTTAGCCCCGCCCACTGAAGTTATAAGGAGTGTTTCAGCCTGATCTGCATTTTGAACAAGGCACAATACAGGGCAACCAATTCGCTCAGAGGTCATTAATATAAATCAGTCTTAAAGACACAGTAACAAAAACAGCTGGTTTAATTCTAAGGGATAAAGAGAGGTTGGAAAATGGTCTTAGGACTAGGCTGAAACATGCCGTAATGCCGTAAAGGCTTATTTTCAAGTGTTTATAAAAATCAAGTAACTTACTCTCAGTTTGTATTGATACTATTTCTTTCTTCTTCCCATGAATAGCCCACATATACAGTTGGACGCTGCTTATGAGTGTAGCTCAATTGACACAATGCCTCTTGCAGATGTTTCGTTCTCCAGTGATGATATCATGGACATCCTTGCTCTGTGAGCCATACTGTCCTCTATTGGTCAAACAGAGGCCTTCAAGAGACAACACCCCACATGACTCAGAGACACAAAACATGTACAACAGAGACGGCAAATCTAACCCATGACATCTCACTAAGGACAAGCAAAACAATATGTAACCCAGTAAGACTAGAAATGATGAAATATCTCAGGTTGGTCTGAGGACCTCAGAGAGGATCCATTCATGTGGCATGTGATCAACATGGTCAGTGCGTTATGGACGTCACCTGAAAAATGAAATAAAGATTTGATAAAAATAGAATTCATTAGATGAACATGATGAATGTGGACAGTTTAATTCATACAGAGCTTTTTGTTGTTGCTTTTGTTTTTCCTATTAATTGATTCACTCTGCTAATTAGTAGAGCATGTTTTGTCCCAAAAAGTCACATATACAGTGTTTTGCTCAGAAAAAACTAATAAATCAATATAAATATAGACAAATAAGACTAATGAGTAGTGATTGCATATATGTCAGTGTTAGTGTTTAACCATTTTCAAACCTCTACTTGATGCAGCTCTGGATTATTTGTGGTTATCGACCAACATTTGGATCGACTAATCAGTGCTTAATTATCTTGAATTAGAAAACAGGTCTCAAGATATTAATATTATGTTTTTCAAAATACAGCATTGTTGTTACATTTTACTGTATTGATGCGTATTTACATTTATTCTAATGATATTTGATGCTTTTACTGGCAAAAAAAAAA